AAAATTATTTTATTTCCACTGTGCATGATTAAGTAAATTCCCAACAACAACCTCTTGGGCCTCTCCTCAGGTCCTACTATGTGTCCGCTCCTGATGCCACTTCTACATCATATTTGTACATCATGCTTGACATCATCATTGTTGACAAGATTTGATTGATAAATTTATTTTTTTAAAACATGTCAATAGTGTGTTGTCATGTCACACAATGTAATAAATAATGTAATTGTAAATTTTGACACACGAGTTTACATAAAATAGGCAAAGTATGATAGAAGGTATAATTTAAAATGTCGGGCCCCAAAATATAGCAAACCCATTTGAACTCTAATGTTTTGATACACGAAGCCATTATCTAGCCCTGTTTGACAACCATTTTTGTAGAAAATGAATAATAATTTTTTAGAGAATGCATAATTAAAAAGTAAGGAAAAATTTTACGTTTTCGTTAAAAATATTATATTCCGAGAATGTATGGTTAAAAAAAAGTATGAAAAAAAAAGTTTTAAAAGAATGATTACCAAACATTAAGGCCCTGTTTGATTTGTATTTCAGTTTTGAGTTCATTTTCAATTTTCTATTTTGAGGGTCTGTTTTAAAATTTCTAAAAATACGTTTGGTTTGTCATTTTGAAAATTTATATCTCAAAACAAAAAATTAGAAAACGCGTTTAATTTTAAAATTTGGAAAATTATTTTAAGACATTTTATTCAATAAAATTTGATTATTCAGTAAAAATAGAACAATTTTATATTAATATATTATCATGTGAGGCTGAATACGGATACCTCAGTTCATGAGGGCGTTGGACATTTTGGAGTTGGGACTGTCCTTAGAGATCACTCCGGTGCTGTACTTGCAGCCCAATCGCGAACAATCGTGGAACAATTCCCTCAAGTTTCTGAAGTACAATGTGATTCCCTACCTCCACTCCAATTTGTGCTGAATGCAACCATTTTGTTCATCATTTTAGCACTTCGTCATAATTAGGTTGTGGTACATATCATTCGTATATTTTTTAGAATTTTTATGTAAATAATCATCAAAAGTTTGAACTATTTTTATTTTTTAGAAGTTTTTATAATTTTATGTTTTAATTTTTAATTTTCAAATTTGTTTTCTTGATTTTATTTTTTAAATTTTATTTGTTATAATTTTAAATTTTTATTTTTCAAAATCTTATTTAAACAAAATTTTATCTAAACACTTATTTTTCATGTTTTGAGTGTTTTCAAAATTTTCACTTAAAATACTTAAGATGTCAATTATGCATTCTGAGTTTTATGTTATTACTTGTTTTCAAAAATGTATTCTCAGAAATATCATATTAAATTCCTTTTTAATAATTTGTAAAATTGAAAATAACAAATCAAACGCACCGTAGTAAAAAAAAAAAAGGTAGAATTAGACAAAGACATGACCCACATTTTTTTTTTTGTTTTTGTTTTTTGTTTTTTAATGAGCCTATCAAACCGTTAGGGACTACTAACACCAAAATTTTATTTTATTTAATTTTTGGTTAATATTCTTCAAAAAAGGAGGAGGGGGTCCTTCAAAATCTAGAAGAATCCGATCCCAATACAATTCAAATCATGGCTGTGGTGAATCCACCTCATCCCATATGTTTAAAAAACCTGTCCATAGTCCCTGCTTGAGTAGCATCTCTCCAAATATTAAACACTGTACACAGCCGCCAATGGATCCTTCCTTACCTAACAAAATTCCATCTGCCCTTCTTCTCGCCTTATAAACCAACTTCCCTCATTCCACCTAACCACACTTATTTACTTACTTACTTTCTTTTTTTTTTTTTTTCCTCTTTGTATGTTTGGGTGGGAATTTTTTATTTTTAACTTATTTTTGCCAATGACAATCTATCGTATCAAACCATCAATTTTGAATTTCTATCTCTTATGTGAAGTTCAATAATGACTATATTTTTCATTCTCATTCTACAATAATGAGATTCAAACAGATCTATTTATAACATCATTTTTAAGAAAAAACATGGGCTAAGTTGTATTTGACGGACTTAAAAAGAGGTCTTTATAGCTACGAAAAAACCTATTTGTACAAAAAAAATTTGACAAAAAAGTTGACAAACTCTCACATGATGGTTGGCCCCACATGAATAAAAAATTGAAAAAAAAAGTGGACCCCCCTAATGTGAGGGGCCGATCAGGGTGTTTGTCACCCACCCCCGATACACCAAGCCTCTCTATTTACAAAAAATGCTGAAATGTCCTATCTCTCTCTCTAAAACTTCTATCAGTCAAAATTTGTTAGGTGAAGGTGACAAAAGAAATTGTACCAACCCACTACATTAATTAATAAACGTGTTTCCAAGTCCAAAATATAAGACAATTTTATAAAGTTGAATTAATTCATATCTTGTTTGTTTTTACAGTTCTCCATTTTTAATGTGATCGTAAATATCTTAACACGAATTCTTTTATAGGAAAATGGAGATTTCTTTCTCGAATTATTGGAGTTTTTCGGCATAAAATAATGGACACGTTCAATTTCTAGTAATCCTTACACAAGCGAAAGAATATTAGGGGCGTGTTCGGTAGAGATTAAAATCGGATTAAAATTGAAAAATTAGTCGGTATTGTTGACTTTTATTAGACGAGTGAAACCCAATAACTGCTATATTTTTAATTTTAATTGAATTTTAAACTTACCCAAACATGCTCTCGAACTAGGTTAACTGTTCTAAATAAAATGGCGAATCCAAAATACCCTTTATTTCTCTTATTTTCTTCGTATTTTGAGTCCATTTTCTCTATCAACTATAAAAATAGTAGCGCGATTCTCTATTATCAAAATTCGAAGTTTAGATTATTCGTTCGTCGTACCACTTCTCGTAACGTTATAAAAGAATGTGCTAATGAGTAATAAATTATAGACAAAGTTTTTACATTTTTAGGGAAAAAAAAACAAAAATAGAAGACAATTTTTTTTTTTAAAAAAAACGTAGTAGGTGGTAGTAACTTATAGACTAATTTTATTTACCAGCTGTCCTTTTAGATTTGCGCTCCAACTCTGTCATTAATGCCTCATGAGCCTCCGGTGACTTACAATTATTTAAGTGTTTATTTTTTGAATTAAATATAATTTTATATTTGTGCCTTATGAGTCCCCACGACACTGCCTTTTAATAAAACCACCATGTTTGGTATGTTTTAAATGTTTTTGTATGTCAAATTCTCTCTCCGCAAGTGTGTGATTATGTGGTTTGTTCACATCTGCAGACACAGTTTAGTTCAACTGTTGAGGATTAAAGCAATTCTTGTCTAGAAACTCGAAAGACAATCAAGAAAGCTCAAGTAAGTCACTTCGGTACGTCTCTTTCTAATGTTTGTATCTGTATGTTGTCTGCTTAATTTTCCTCTGATGTTCTACTGATAACACTGGTTTTATGTTTTTTTACATGCTTTTGATTTCATTGATTCAAGTTTGTGTTTGTTTCGGTTTATCTATTGATCTTATACAGACAAATTCGAAATAAGTTTGTTCATTCTTTTGCAATTTAAGCTTTTAGATGGAAAGCATGAGTTCAAATCTCGTCCACGTTCATTTATGAAAATTATGTAGCCTGCACAGAAATTTGGCAAAAATACCTGAAAAACTTTGGAAAATAGCAGCAGTAAGTTTGAACAAGAAGTACTGCTGGACAGTCCATTTTCTTCAAATAATTTCCTTCTGCCTCTCTCAGTACTGCAAGGTACTGTAAACTAAACCAACTGGTTTTCACCTTTCTATTACCAGATGAAAATTTTGACCAAATCCAGTACCTTTTAGTCTTATAGTGCAGAATTTGGTAGATTTTCTGTAATTTTTATCTGCCCCTTAATTTTTTTTTTTTAATGATTTTGTTGTAATAATTTTTGCACGGCCAAGATAAAAATTGGGCTCAGAGAATCTTGAAAGAAAAACACTAATTATGAAGTGAAATGAATTTTAGGCCCAAAAAGTCTTTCAAACAGCAAACGCAGTATTCCAGACAGTTCATAAATAATGTGTGTTGGGGTCTACTAGTAAAGATACAGCTTTGAAGGAAATAATTTCATGTTTTTTTAAAGAAAATCTTATTCCTTTTTACTTGTCCACTTGAAAAAGGCTGCATTTTTGCTGTCTAAAGAATTAAGTGATAAGGGACATCATTGCTGTTGTTGAAAAAAAGTCATGATCTTTAGGATTTCTTTAATGGTTCACTTTACTATCCAGTCATTTAATACCACGTATACTCTAATTTGTTCATTAATCAATCAAATCTATCTACGATGGGCACTTCTTTTTTATTTTCTAAGTTTGGGTTCCGGGAAGTGCAATGGGGAATGCACCAGATCCGGATTCCAAGCCAGAAATATGATAAAAGATTTGATAATAAATGTTGAAATGTCAACTGAGACTCACCCTCGCCATAAATGTTTATCCTTTTTCTTAAAATTTGAATCTTTGCGTATAACTAAAATTTAACTTGAACAGAGTGATGAAAAATATTTTATGTAGCCAATGCTAGATTTACTGTCACGGGAACCGACTCAATTTTTCTGTTGTTTCTTTAAATCTGGACTTCGGGGCTGATGAATAAAAATTCTTTTAAAGATTTTTCTGTGCAACCAAAGAATGTAGAAAGATGTTTACTATTCTATGTATAATCAAGTTGAGATTAATCGGTTTAGACTCGATTGGCTCTGATACCTTGACAGGTATCTCTTTTATGTAGAAAATTCTCTCTGTTAACAATCTGGAGCTCTACCAGTAATGAAACTAAGCATATGTTCGGAAATGTGTTTATGAACGGATAGAAATGAGTGGTCGAGAAGTGTGAATAACTTGTAAAAGTGATTTGACCAAAAACGTTTTCTTGTCAAACATATGCTAAATCAGGAAGAAAATAATGATGAGACATCATTATTAAAAATTGAACTGATGTTTAATGAACTCAATAATTTGAATTTAGTATCAAGCACTGAAATGGTTTGTATAAATCAAGACCGTTTGATGATGCGCTTATGCAGAAAACAGGGTACTTTACTCCCTGCATGATAAATCTTATATTGTTTACGACTTTAAATCGAGGTGTAAGCTATCACTTTAGCATGTGGTAGAAAATGTACATCCTTATTCCTTATGATATCACATAATAGGCTATTTTGGATTGTTGAATAATTTTGTTTGATGAGATTTCTGTTTCTCTTCTTTGCAGAGCCATGGATGATGGCATTCAAGAGAGACTGCTTGGTTCGGAAGGAAAAGAGGTGAGCGATTTGAAAGGGAAGGTCTACGACGAATCCAAGAAGATATGGAGGGTAGCGTTGCCTGGAATTATAGCGCGAGTGGCTTCATTCGGAACCATAATAGTGACACAATCATTTATTGGACACATAAATTCGTTAGATCTTGCTGGTTATGCCCTCGTTCAAACTCTTAGCGTGCGATTTATCAATGGAATACTGGTAACTTTTGCTCTATATCCTTCCATTTATTGTTTCTGTACTTGCAAATCTTGCAAAATTTACAACATATAAAGAATCTGCCATTTCAAGAAAGATACAGATACATATAGTGTTGGAAAAATGGTTTAGTTTACATTGCTAGGCCAGCTTTGACATAATATTTTAGCGGGCCTCATTATTTGATTTTGTATTTCTGAGGCCATATGCGTTCTCCACTACGAGGAGATATTCTCGGTATATTTGGTTTCTCGAAACAAATCTAATTCTCATTCATTCAAATTGCATCTCCAGGTTGGACAATTCAGTCAAATTGCATTTCTAGATTTGACAAATTCTTCATTCACGGTATAAAAAATGAAGTGCTCGACTGATAGAAGAAATACAATTAGAAATCAAATAGAAAGAATTACAAAAGAGATATCTGGATGAATGAGAAATTAAATTCGAATGTGTACTTATTTAACTTGTAAAATTGAGGGAAAATGGAAATTCTTCATTCCCACATTGGAAGATGGAAAGACTCTCGACCAAATTTATTTATCGCAAGTTTGGCATTTGAATGTGGACTATGCATAAATTTTGTATCAGATGCTACAATGTTATAAATTTCTATGTTGCAGATAGGCATGTCGAGTGCAACTGAAACACTCTGTGGACAAGCGTATGGAGCACGACAGTACCATATGATGGGCATTTAAGATACATCTCGTGGTGGTTTATTCCAATGGTCTACAATTTTGTTTTTACGTTGACAATGCAGATGTATCTACAAGCTCAGCAAAAGAACGGTATTGTTGCCTGGCTATCCATTCTGCAACTTTTAATACACGTTCCATTGTCCTGGCTATTTGTCAACCATTTGAACTGGGGAGTTGATGGGGCAATGGGTGCGCTATGCATATCATCCTGGTTTGTCGTGTTTGGAGAATGTGCCTACATATTTGGTGGATGGTGCCCTCACACATGGTCAGGATTCAGCACGGCTGCTTTCAAGGATATATTTCCTGTAATAAAGCTCTCAATATCCTCTGGCGTTATGGTTTGGTAAATGTCTCCCTTAATATCAACTACATAGGTCAAAGATTACGTTTTATTATATATTTGCACAAATCAAATATTAAGATTAAAAAACTAAATGAACCCAAAAATGATTTTCATGAAGGATTGCACTGCACTAATAGAGCAAGTTTACAGATGCATACATAATTTTGGTGGAAAACATAACCGTCATTTTTTTATATGACCTCAGTGAATTTCTAACTTGTTCTCTTTAAATTGATTTTTAGCTATGTTAAAATTATTCTTATTCATTTCAACATTTGCATATCATACTGTACATTATCAAGCATGAAGTCTAACATGAGTGATTTGCTATTATTTTTACTTATTTCGCTCTTGGCTTGCTTTGTAGCTTGGAGTTATGGTACAATTCTATTCTAGTCTTATTGGCCGGATACATGAGTAATGCAGAGGTTGCTATATCTGCCTTTTCTATTTGGTGAGTGCATGCTACAAGCTTGTTAGTGCATGTTTGGTGCACAATACTAGACAAGACAAGAATTAATTACCTTTTTTCCTTAATAGTGTCCACTGCACTATACTGTACCAAACAAGCCATTAGTTTTTTCTGCACTATGACCTATTAATCAAGCTGGATTTTACAGCCTTAACATCAATGGATGGGAATTCATGATTTGCCTCGGCTTCCTTGGTGCTGCATGCGTACGAATTGCAAACGAGCTCGGGAGAGGAGATGCTAAAGCTACAAAATTTTCTATCAAAGTCCTAATAACTACTTCGATAGTGATTGGTGTATTCTTTACTATTATTTGCTTGGTCTTTGGAAACAAACTTGGATACTTATTTACAAACGATGTGGAAGTTGCAAAGACCGTGTCAGATCTTTCGCTTCTACTTGCGATCTCTGTGTTGCTCAATAGCATATATCCAGTACTCTCAGGTACATAGTTACATACTCTGTGGTTTCATTTCTTTTCATTTCTTTCCTGCACTTGATCTTAATGTGTCATGCATGCCTATACTTTGTGTAAAGTACTAAATTTATGCTTTGGATGAGGTATCCTTATATTTTATAAAAAAATAGCATATATCCAGTACTCTCAGGTACAGTAGGCCATATTAATTTTGGTCTACAACTCCATCTTTGAATCTAGCATAACATGTTATTTTCTGGGATAATAATTACGGTCTAAGCAAGTCTGTGTACCGACCATAATTAGTTTATATATGTTTTATTTTACATTTGACGTTAACTCTGAAATTTTGGTAACAGGGGTGGCAGTAGGAGCGGGTTTGCAAGGCACAGTTGCAATTATCAACCTTTGTTGCTTCTATGTGATCGGAATACCAATTGGAGCTTTACTTGGATATGTGGCTCATCTTCAAGTGGAGGTAACACCGAAATTATCTACTTAGTCAACTTCAAAGAATACCTTCATTAACGATCAAACTTACAAGCACGTCTATTATGTCGCTACTGGTAGTTGTGTTCATTAGGATTCATGTCAGACAAAATTTTACTATGTCAACCTTGCGCGATCCTCCTTTATCCGAGCTTGGATGATATGCTTCTTCAATACCGGATAATGAATGTCATCAAACCCATATGAACCTTGGAGTTCATCCTTCATGCATGTAAAGATTGTAGGATACTTTTTGTTCTCTTGTAACTAACCCCTTAGAGACAAATACTCCATCCTAGAGACAATTTGAACCAAAAAAAAAAACCTTACCCATTTTAATTTTCCATGACATATGAACGCGAATATATGGAATTGATATGGACGTCGCACGCCTCTAGTCTATGTGCTTAATTCTTAAATTGATACTCGTTTCACAGGGTATATGGATCGGAATGAACCTTGGAGTTTTCACTCAGACGCTTGCACTTAGCTACATGGCATGGAAAACAGATTGGGACAAACAGGTAAATTTGCCAGAATAAGATAAAACTGTCTAAAACTACAAGAAAGTTCAAAATGTTTCCAATTTAGTAGTAGAGTATTCGACTACTTTGGTTTGATTCTTGATCATCCTGCAGGTCAAGATAGCTTCAGAGCGGCTCGAAAAATTTTACCTGAAATCTTCTGAAGAGCCAAATCATAAAAACGGACACGCTTGAGATGCAAGAATGGAAAGAGTTTTGATTCTTAACATTCAAATCAAGTTCACATTTGAGTTTTGCTTAATTCTTGTCATGTCAAGCTGAAGTAAGAATTAAGAAATCTAGAAAAAAAATTCACTTTTGGCAGATTTTGTCTGTTTTTGATTTGGCATATTGGATTTCTGAAGAATGTGGTAACAATTTCAAGCCTCAGTTGATCCAAGAGGTTGGGTGTTTACATACTGGAAACTGGGTACAATGATTTGGAAGCTTATTTCAAGTATATCAATCTCAAACAAGAATCTTTGTACTTGACAAAGAAATGTTTTCTGCCATGGCTCAAGTTTATGAATTTTGTGCACGCGCTTTTTTTTTTTTTTTATAATAATCTAGTGAAACTAATTAGTTAGATAACGTGATCACCAGACTTTTCTGGATAAATTTGATGATAGTGGATAGTTCGATTTATTTGCTTCGTCCAGAGTCTTTATAATGTGGTTTGAACTTTGAAGAGACCTGTAACATGATATTTTATCATGACTGCATAAGAAACAAAGCAGGCGTGCCCTATAATAAGATAATACGATACCATCCCCCACCTTTGGCGCACTTGTTTGATGAGCAAAGCCTAAGCATCCTATAAGTCAAAAGCTACTTTCGCCTTATTCTTTTTCTGATGATTGATTTAACCTCTGATAAAAAGACATACCGTCGTCTATGGTTGAGTTGCGAAAACTTCTCGATAGGTATCCTACATTTGAATCGAAATAATTAAATTAAAGAATAATAAGAAGAAAAAGGAAAAGGAGTACACTAGGTCGATTCTATTAATTCCATTCTTTCATTTCAGTTCACATATCATATGTAATGATCGAATTCAATTCACATATCATATGTAATGTTCGAAATCGGGCGAGACCTCGTGTGTCGATGTAAAAAATGAGCAGGGTTTTCAGCCTTGATGTGTGTTCGTTGTTGCACGGCTCAACAATGTTGAAAATTAAGCATGCCGAAAAGAAAATTGCTGCGTCTTTTTCGTCTATGAAGAGAGTTTTAACGTTATGTCTCCAAGCTAGCTCATCTAGTGTCGAAGTTGTGAAGCAAGCTGGCTAAGAAGTCTTCTATAAGAATTGGAGGTGCCTTTGGAAATTACTGTGTTAGGACCCGACACCAGACAGCATCTGTGAATTTTTGCCAATTTGCTGCAATTTTTTTAGCAATTCTTAGATTCTAGCCGAGAAGTATTGAAGTTGCCTGAAATAAAATTTCAGATAGCTAGAACGACGCAATGCTTTGAAATGCAAGTAACATTACAGAGATGAACATGATAAAGTTGGATTGTCAAAATTAAACACAGGCTACTTCCCTTAAAAGGTTTGCTGCAAAGCCGTGTTCATTCTCTTTAGGACAATGGCTATGCAATGTTGTGTTTTCCGTCTATCACGTTGGCTTCGAGCCACATAAAGAAGATTTCAGCAGATTTGAATAAAAAATCAGGCCTTTCTTGAATAATTTTGCAGACTTGATGAATCTACCCCCAAGGATCACACCATGTCCCTGAAGATTGAGGCTTGGAGATATGTCCCATGTCAAAAATGGAAAACTTGGTTGCCTTCTTTTTCAACATTTAATTTTAACCACATATTTCATCGAATTCACAATTTTTATCAAGTTTTCAAACACACTTCACCAAATTTATTAAAATCTACTAAAAATCTAATTTTTAATAAAGCTAAACCAAAGCTAAACTTTTCGCCACCGAGGACAAACTTTTCGCACAAAACAGACTGCAATGGTGTAATTTATTTTTCTTCGACACCGCACAAGATATCATGCAGGGAATTGAAGTACAAACATAAATAGGGAAATTAAAGCATAGCATTTCATATATCTGAAATGTAATTGAAATTAAGAGGCATTTTAGTTTAGGGAAAATTACAGAAAACCAGTTGTTTAGTTTCACGTTTCTGAAAATCAGATTTATACTTTATTTAATCAAAATCATGTTTTAATTTCACAATTAATATTAATAATAATATTTTAAATTAAATTAATCTATATACCCACCATACCACCTACCCCACCAAATTTCATTCCCATTTTCCAAACCCTAAACATTTTTCTTCTCATCCTCCCTCTTCGTCCCCTCCCCCTCTCCCTGCTGCTGTGAATCGGCAGCAGCGTCGTTCGTAACGAACGACGATGCCGTTCACAGCAGTGTCGACGCTACTTCCGGCATTCACACCAGCGTCGCGACGCCAGCGTCGCAGCGACTATGTGGGCCTTCCACTGTGTGGGTCTTCGACTGGCAGTAGCGTGGCGGATTTGAGCTGTTGCAGGTGGGTTTGTTGCAGAGAGAATGTCTCAGAATAGTTGGTGGGTTTGGTAGATCTGTCGTGGATTTCATCTTACTGGTAAAATATGTTGCGGTACTGTGTGGGTCTTCGATGTGGGTGGAGGTTCCGTGTGTGGGGCGGCTTTGTGAGGTTGCGGTTGAGGTGCTGTCGTTCACAGTGTCGAGGCGCTGCTCGGCCACTCTCACATCCTCTTCGACGCTGCTTCTTCTGTCTCTTACCATTCTTTTTTTTATTGATTTTTGAGTGGTGCGGTGGCAGTGCAGTGGGTGTGCGGTGGAGGTGCTGTGGCTAGTTAGTTTGTGTTCGTGTGGTGGTGATAAAATTGTATGGATCTGTGGTGTTGGTCAGTGTTGTGGTTGTGGTGGTGGTCGTCATTTTTTGTTATTGTTGTTCCGGTGGTTGTGGTGGTGTTGCGGCGGGGTTGATGGAAAGTGTCTGTGACCAACTATTTGGTCGATCTATGACCAAGCATTGGTGGTGTACTGGGATTGGGGGACGGGTATTTGGGTGTATGCGACCAACTATATGGTCAGTGACCTTAAAATTCGTTATCTGTGACTAAAAATATAATCTGTGACCAATAAATTTGGAAATATGTGATTTATGTGACCTATAATTTTTTTATCAGTTACCAATGATGTCAACTATGTCCCGAATATTTTTTATTTGTGACCTCGAAATAATCTGTGACCAATAATTTGATAAGTTGTGACTGAAAATTAATTTTTATCTAATTAATTAGATATATGTGACCAAATGGTATATAATTGTGACCTTAACAATTGTCGGAATCGGAGAAGTCGCCGGAATTAAGCAACGGCGGAACGATCACCGGAGTACTCATCGGTCGTCGAAATAGTCGTCGGAATACTCGCCGGTCGTGCCGGAGTAGAATGACCACCGGAATTGTCGCCGGAGCAGTAAGGGGCGTGGTGGAGGTAGGGTGGGGTAGGGTGGGTTAATTATATTATATTACAATTAATTTATAAAAACTTGATTTTTGCAATTTTGAAACTTAGCACCTGATTTTTGATTTTGGCAAAGATAATACCTGATCCATGAATTTCTCCCTTTAGTTTACTAGTCAGAGTTATACGTGCAGTGCACGTTATTTTAAAATACTTTACAAGTGCTGTGAATGTAATATTTGATACTTCATTTATCATTTTGATCTAAATATGAGAAAAATGTAAGCCCTTGAAAATAAATGTTAATTATTATATATGCACGTAAATAGTGAAATGTATACTTGAACATGAGTATTAGAATTATAGTTAAATGTATAAATGAAAATGAATGACAAATACGATATATGAATTACCGTGAATGTTAATTAATTTAGAATTAATACAAATGAATATATATGTGAAATGATTATTAAATCATTTATACTAAATGAATAAAATTTAATTTTAATTAAGTGAAACTTGACGTTAATAAGAATACATGGATGTGAATAACGAATTTCATTCTTGAATGTGTAATTTTAATTAATATTAATTAAATGAACGTGAATATTAATTAATCGAGAATCAATAACATGAACATAGACGTGAATGTTAATGTAAAATTCTAATTAAAATTAATTAAATGAATGAGAATGTTAATTAATTGAGAATTAATAACAGGAACATGGACATGAATGTCAATGTGAAATTCTAATTAATACCAATTAATGAACATGAATGAATACATGTATGAACAAGGATTTTGTAGTATTTACTATAGTTTGTAAATTAAATAGTTATTGAAAAACGAAAAGTTAAGTATTATTGAAATAATTGAATTGTAATAGAGTTATAATCGTCCAAAAAATAATTTTCACTTAATGTGATATTTAATATATTATAGATTTTTCTTTCGCGTACTACTATCCGATTATAGCATGGTCAAACATGTCATAATAGAACAATATTATCAGGGTCTTAATCCTTTCTTCTGTGAGCAGCACCACACGCATATGGATGGTGGACAAAATTTATATCAACAAATTTTCCTCTTTTGTAACCGTTTAAGACAAATTTTATAGTTTAAATATTGTACATTAGGTTTTTTTATGATAATAGGATGAGTCGTAATTTTTATAATTTGACCTTAAAAATTTCGAAATTAAAAATTTTAAATTTTAAATATATCGTAAAAGATATTCTAATTAATTAACATGGAAAAAATGCTTTAACAGCCGTGTCAAGATGAGAAAGTTAACGTACTAGAATAAAACTTAAGCAAAAGACCCAAAATCAGTTTTTGTTGCCGTTTGTTGATGAAAATTGTACATGTTTTAGGACTTTGATGAAGAAGATTACTCGCAAAAGTCGTACAGGTGCTGCGCTGCACCTGTATGACTGCTTTTTTTTGTTTTTTAATCATATGCCAATGGGAAATTGCTAAGTGTGCATCCGTAAAAGTTCTGTCAAACGTTTTCTGTACACATAGCATCACTCATGCGGCGTGTAAAACATAGTTCAGTTTGTATCATTTGAGTTGAGCATGTAGACATTATTTTGGTACATGTTAATCTTTAGATTGTCATTTCTTTCTCTGTCACATAATTAGTAACAAATCACAATCAACTTTGATGTTGGGTCTGGTGAAATCTGTGCCCTCTGATGAAATATGATCATCCACATTTATGGAAATGATGATGATGATCTGGCTCCT